AATTGATTCAGTTGATTTAATTGATTCAGTTGATTCATTGATTCAGTTCATTTCATCGATTCATCTCATTTTATTGATTCAGTTTATTTCAGTTCATTTTTTTTTACTGAAAAGAAATTTCCCTCCTCGCTGTAGGAGCTTGCCAAACGTGAAGAGATAGTTGCCAAAAAGGAACAGCTTCTGAGAGAAAAAGGCGAGCTGGAGATGAAGAGACTGCGCTCCAGTCAAACACTGACAAAGGTGCGTTGCAGGTGGAGGCTACAAGAGGCTTGGCGAAGGAGTAGTTTCTGTGGACTAGGGCCACAGCAATTATCAGGCTATGCAATTAGTTGATCATTATGCTCCTTTGTGGATTCCATTTTTTTTGGTTCAGTTCATTTCGACCCACCATTGAAGGCTGTGAACCTGTGCAGATGACTTCATAAATGTATTTGTTCAGTTGTTATTTAGATGGTTAAACATTGATAGCACATCATGTTATACTTTCACGTTAACCTGACATTATCACACAGCCTTCTGTCAATCTCACTGTATGTACTCTCATTTAGTTTTAGTACCAATAGTAGGGCTGAGTCAATTCGAATAATTCGCTATTCAAATATTCAACCTTCAATTTGATCAAATATCCAAATATTCGGTCGTACCAACCGGCAGATTGACGATGAACAAACTATATACAAAATCAGTTGCAATAATGCACACAATTGTACATTATGATCACAATAATAGCTTCTCTTTCTGGGACTATCTCCAGCCACGATTTAGCAAGATTTAACAGACTAACAGTACTTCTTGCCCAGTTGAAAATTTCCATTCCTTTTACATTTTTTAATAAATCCTGTGAGATATATTATTCTGTCACTTTTTATTTGAATCTGCTCTAAACAAGCCTCCATAGTGTGATTTTTCTTACTTAAAACAAAAGAAAATTCTCCCGTCCTTCAAATTTGGAAAATAGTATTCAAATATACGATCAAAGATTGAATACTCAGATATTCGGCACAGCCCTAACTAATGGGCACACAGTGCAGTGATAATCTAGAATATATACCCACAGAAACACCCCATCGGGATACAGTTTACATTGAAATTGGAACCTTGGTGGCCCAAGGATCCTTAGTTAAATTGCTGGTGTCGCAAGCCATTTTGTTTATCTGCATATTCAGGATTTGAAGGGGTTGTCCTCGCGGATCGAGAGTGTGGATAAACAACTGGAGGAGAGACAAGAGGATCTGCGCGTCAGCGTGGAAGCCGTCCACGGAGACATCACGGCAAACATCAAGGCTCTCAAGCAAGACAGGTACAAGCTGATGCCCCTCTTGTGGTCAAGTGCATTGCAAGCTTTCTCCAGTCAGCTAGTCTCAAGTGTAGCATTTGGAATGGAATATGAGCTAGGCATTTCTTGTGCCCGGGCACTCGGGGTTTGAACTGCATTCAAGTTGGGAGCTGATTTGCAGCTGACTGTTTGTCGAACTTGTGGTTGACTTATTGTTGAATTGTGACTGGTGATTAACTTGTGGTTGTCTTATGGTTAACTTGTAGTTGATGTGGGATTAACTTCCTTTTGACTAAGGATTAATTTTGGGTTGATTTTTGGTTGTGAGATTAACTTGTAGATGACTGGGGATCAACTTGTGGTTGACTTGTGGTTGACTTGTGGTTGAGTGAGACTGACCTTTGCTTGTGACATGTGAGTGACTTCGACCTAACGTGTGATTGGCTTGTGATTTACTGTTGGTTTTTCTAGCATGTAAATCGACGACCTGATAAAGTTCCTTATTGAAGAGATCATTCTGTTTTCCATTTCAACCTGGCAGAGATCGTCTTATAAAGCAGAGAGACGTCCTTGATACCAAACTGGGACAAGGTGCGCTGCTAGCCCCAACGGAAGAAAGAAGGTAGGAAAATTGAAGCTACTCCAACCTCACTTATCAAACAGTTTACGCTATTCAGGATTTTCATCATTGTTATTGCATGAAGTGTCTGCAACATGGCTGTATCGTCTTGTATTGTACTTTATCTGTGATTATATTTGGCTGTGCAGGTTGATTGAGTTAGACGAAGGCATAGAGGCGTTAGATGCTGCCATTGAGTTTAAGAATGAAGTCATCGCAAGCAGACAGCAGGAACTACGAAAAGCAGGCCTTGCGACCGTAAGTCGTTCTTTCTACTATAAAAGTACCAAAGCGTGACGTCATTTTAACCAGGAAGTGTAATACAACCAGTGCATGTGTTGGTTCGTGCACTGATCATCATGCTGAAGGCTTTTACGTACAATACGGCTGTTTCACAATAGTGCGCCACCAAAAGTTTGCAACGCATTGGCCAATCACAAGGTGTGAAATCTGTCGACCAAATGCACATTTGGAAAGGGTCGACAAATTTCGTGTGTTGTGATTGGCCAACGCGTTGCAAACTCTTGATGGCGCTCTATTGTGAATTGCCCGTTTTGTGCGTTTGACATGTTAATTTTAGTATTTTTACACAGATAACACCTGACTTTCTGATATCCCATGGACCATATGCTTTTAGTTGGAGAGTATTCTCAAAGATTTCTTGTAAGTGCTTTGTAGTGTCGCTGATGAGTGATGTACTGCTTGTACACATAGATTGATGAAGTACTTTCAGCGAGGTTACAGTCACTCACAACTGCTGATGCAACTGGCCTCCTTGTCAAGTACTTTGAAAAAGTTGTTCACCTCCGGGAGACAGACAAGAAGAAGGATCTCGCCATTACGGAGATGGAGGTGAGATGAGACAAAGGATGCTGGGATGTATTGGGTTAATGGTTGCTAGGAGACTGAGGCATTGGTCAGATGTACATGTAGGCCTCATCTGAGATTGTGCCTTTTGGCTCCGGCATTCTGGCTTGAGGTGTCTGATGGGTTCCGTGTTTGCTCCGGAAGTTTCAATCCCACCACTGAGTGAAGTCTGCAACCCTAAATTCTTCACTCATTGGAGGATTGAGAAAACATTACAGAATTGGCTCAGAGGGCCAGAGGTAATCCACAGCTAGAGATAAAGCCGAGCTTTGAAAAATTGTTTTGTTACATGTAAATCTTCTTTCTACTTATGCAAATCCACGGGGAATATGACAAATATTGTCAAACACCGATAATAAAAGAGCTTATAAGGGAATAAATTTTAGATCCCAAGTCTTTATACTCGTTTTCAATGTTGATGATATTGATCGGAGGCCCTTGTTATAACAAGATTATTTGTCAGTAAAGTGCCAAGGACATTGCTATAAAGTTGTTCTGAAACTATCAGTCATGTCTGTGATTGCCACATTAGATGAAGATCGACGAGCAGGCTCGGTTGGTGCAAGAATTGGAGAACACGTTGCAGCGATCCACATTGGAGCTGGACCGAAAACTGATGGCCCAGCAGAAGCAACATGAGCAGAGAGTTCAGATGTTGATCAGACAACAGGCCGATGGGGACGGTGGGAACTTAAGGTAAAAGAACATCAGTTCCTGGTCTTGGTTCAAAGCTGGCAAACTGGAAGCGATATTTGATGTAGTCGAAAATCAAGATTTTTTGGTCAGAATTGTGAAATCCTAAACACCAAGTAGATGGAGATGATGCGTGTATGTAACGTAAGGTTAAGAGCAGGATTTCTTGTTTGAGGGTTGAACAGAGAAAAATCCTGGACATTTTGTCTGAAAGTGCTGTCCAAAATCCCCATGTCAAACTTGTTGACAATCCTGGTTTGAGTAAAACGATTGCGGTTACTCCATGGATCTCTTTCTTGAGTATGAGTGGTTCTGAGAAGAACCGGGGAATAACTCGACGTTTCCTGGTTTGTTTGGGTTTGAGGGGTTGGCTCCTTAAACACTAATTTGAATAAATTAAAAAAAGTCTTTCCTCAGTGGAAGTAACCTGCCCGCACCTGTAGACATATTTCCATTAACATAATATCAGATTGTGGCTAGTAGGATTTTTTTGGTAGAAATTAAAAGCTGAGAAAAAAACCACTGGATTCCATGTCAGTGCGTCAACACTTGAAGAGGCACCCAAATAGTTGAATGTAGGCTTGAGTTCACGCCTACACTTGGATTGGATGGATGTGACATACTGCAGAGCTGGGGGGGGGCTCTAATTGCTGAGACGCATGAAAGAACAATCGCCATACCCCATGCAAAATAACATATGTTCTTGGACCCACAATAACTTGTCTTGGGACATGATCATTCACAACTGAGTGAATCCTTGTGTCATCACTGTTCCATCTAAGGACATGTAGTGGATATCTGAAATATGCCAAGTGTGACAGTAAAGAGTTTTATTTAATACCTGTATCAAGGACCCCTGTACTGAAATAAAGGATGTGTTGATAATAATAGAGAGCTGAAGACGAAGGACTTGACGCTGAAATTATTTTACTTTTCAACCAAAAATGTCTTTCATGACAGTGCAAAAGGGGAATTAAAAACCCACATCTCCCCTTCAGGATAAAAAGGATGACACGATTTGGAAAGCTTAAAGAAAAGTTGGTGTCACAGAGCATTCACAGTTTCTCATTCACACGGCTATGTTAGACTTTGTGCTGCGTGGCCTTGAGAATTTAGCAGTCATGTGCCTGGCATCAACCACTGGTTTGTCGTATCTTGCCAATCAGTTGGAAGATGAAGCAAGTGATGTTTTCTTTGAGAATGCTTAATATATATTTGTCAGTTTTCGTGGTGGACATGCGAGACTGAGAAGTTGCCCTAATGTGTCAGAGACATATTCACTGTACACCTACGCAAACACTGCACATCTGAAGCCACGTCTGGCCCAGCAGCGTTTACCGACTGGTCACATGTTCCGTTCTAACCTAATAAACCCTCCATATCCTAGAAACAGCGTATGATGTATATTTTCTGGTTTATGTGCAGTGCCTATGAGAAGCAAATAGCTGACTTGGAGAAGGACTTGTACTACTACAAGAAAACCAGCAGGGAGCTGAAGAAGAGACTGCGTCAGTTACTGGCTGATGGTGTGCCCTCTACTGGACCCAATGGAACAGGTTCGTAACCACTTTAAGAACGCTTTTGCCCCATGTTGCGAGAATGTTCCAGCCTTTGCCTTGTGATTGCCTACTGTTTCCAGAAATTGGCTTTGCACAGGTTCTCTTTTTAGTATTTTGATTTAATTTTGGGATGGAGTTTGGCTTTGAAAGCAAACATTTTCTCCTGTGGTCATCGGAGGGATTAACATTTGCCATGTGGTTATTGGAGGGATTCAACATTT